ACACTGAAAGATAATATAAAAATGGAAAGAAAAAAATAGGGGCACTTTAAGCAGTGGGGTGAACTGCTTTCTTATTTTATTATTATGGAGCAGAAGAGAAATCAGGCCAAATAGTTGAAGTGCTTTACAATGAAATGGGAGGCATGGCTTTGTGCAAGCAACTACCTTAAATTCAGGAAGCAATGAACAATGTGAACGATAACATTCCTCCTAGCGCTAGGTATGTAAACTCCTTGGGTTTTGTTTTCCTTTGAAATAATCACGCAGCTTTCCCTGATTAATCATTGGCTACTCGTATTACAGTGTGACATCGTAATCTAGATGAGATTTGAGACGCTGGCATGAAAAACTCTTCCTGAAGGCAATTTGTGCAAAGTTTGAAAACGTGTATCGGGTTATGTATAACTGCTGAGAACAGGAACTGCCTCACACTTTGCCATCGAGCTTCTTGAGATCAGGTTTGGCCATGTGACATGACATGTCACACTCTTGAGTAGGTTCGCATAAAAACATCTCAGCTTTTTTCAGTTTCTCTGTCACAGCACGAACGATAACAGGTTATTCCAGTCAGCAGGATCATCTCGGTTCGGCCTGTAGGCTAACTCTGCCTGTGTTCACTTAAAGAGTTAGCGATTCACTTATGAAAATCTTTGAAAAGCAAAAACAGCACAAACCCATTAAAGCCTCTTCAAAGGAAGCTAACAAACATGGGATAAACAATTTTTTAATACAAATGGGGCAAAAAATGTCTTCTGGTTTCACTTTTTCTATTTGTGACTTCAGCAGACACACCCAGAAAAGTTTATTGCTCAGACGTTGCTCTTTCATATCTCAGTAATATTCTCAGTTATGTCTCATTTCAGTACATTGACGCATTTGCCAGATGTTCATATCCTAATACTAAACGACTTCCAGTGCAGTCGAGGTATAATTTGTTATCAGTTTTTCAATAAGAATCAAACTCATTACCATAGCATTACTTGCACATGTTCGACCACCTTAGCAAAATATCAAGTTTTATAAAACAGAATTAATTATATAAAACAACATAAAATTAAAGTATATAAAAAAGCAAGTAAAGTTATATAAATTAAAACAAAACAGGATAATCTGGTCTAGGACAAATTTTGTGAGAAATATATTGTATAGCCTATTATAAAATGTATTGTACCTAATATATATTATATTCAAATATATACACTCACCTAAAGGATTATTAGGAACACCTGTTCAATTTCTCATTAATGCAATTATCTAATCAACCAATCACATGGCAGTTGCTTCAATGCATTTAGGGGTGTGGTCCTGGTCAAGACAATCTCCTGAACTCCAAACTGAATGTCAGAATGGGAAAGAAAGGTGATTTAAGCAATTTTGAGCGTGGCATGGTTGTTGGTGCCAGACGGGTAGGGTTGCCACCTTCAATACAAAAAAATAAGGGACGCCTGCCGGCGGCCGCAGCGGGGGCCAAAGCCCTCAGGGCCACAATGACCACAGGCCCGACGGTATGCCAATGGTATCATAACTCAAAACATATTTTTCAGGAAAGTAATAAGATCATACCAATGGACATTATAATAAGCTATCTGCTATTGAAATCATTGTGAATAAATCACTCTCTATCACAAACAACGTTAACAAAGTGTGACAATGAGATTACAAAAAAAATGGCCTTTCGTCGGAGTTGTATGTGAGATGTTAACTTATTAACTTATTAAATTAACAGATCCATAAATTATTCACTATAAATTAAACAAATGTGTTGATACTCAAACAAATACTAAATTTGATTGGAAAAAACTATGACTTTAGCAAAGGATCTTGAACATCAAAAACATCAGTAGACCAGTAGTACTGTGCAGTATTGGACTATAGGCGTTAAGTGTACTTGTCACTCCATGCAGCACCGAGTAGCTGTTTCTTTCAAACATGTAACACCATCCAAACAGTGATACCACACATAAATAACCTATAATCTACAAACATTTCTAAATTTAATTATAACACTATTTTTATTATTGGTAAGAAAATCTATTTATGTATTTATTTATTTATGTATTCAGACCTATTGACCTATTCTCTAGATTTGTTAAGCATAAGTCATTTTCTTCACACATGCACATTTTTATTATTAAATATGTAGGCCTATTAAATATCTCTCTCTTATTTAAAAAATGCATGTGTCTGACTACCTTAACTATAATAAACAAATCATACCATAATGTATGGATATAATTCATTTACATTGAAACATTATTTCTTAGCAAATGGGCATAGGGTATGGAGCATATGAAAACGTAATCAATCAGAACATTATTGAGCTGATTAAAAAACTGTCATTACACTATGACTATCTGCTTCGGGAGATCCTTAACGTATGAAGAACTGTGAGACGGTGCTTTGATTTCTCTAAGCTAGCATTGCTATCAACTCTCTGCCAAAAGACCCGCCCTCCTCTGACTCTGATTGGCCCTGAAACTGATGTTATTAAACAAACCAATCAAACCAACAATGGCAGCGAGTATTACCCAATCAAGGGTAGAATAGGACGAGTCTTCACAGAATGCGGGTGTTATGATTTGCATGTGATGATGCATTTAAGACAACTCGGAAATACGGGACAAACCGCGTCCCGTATTGATTCAAAACGGGACGCGCTGTTTATTTCACAAATACGGGACTATTCCGTATTTTAAGGGACGGGTGGCAACCCTACAGACGGGCCGGTCTGAGTATTTCACAATCTGCTCAGTTACTGGGATTTTCACGCACAACCATTTCTAGGGTTTACAAAGAATGGTGTGAAAAGGGAAAAACATCCAGTATGCGGCAGTCCTGTGGGCGAAAATGCCTTGTTGATGCTAGAGGTCAGAGGAGAATGGGCCGACTGATTCAAGCTGATAGAAGAGCAACTTTGACTGAAATAACCACTCGTTACAACCGAGGTATGCAGCAAAGCATTTGTGAAGCCACAACACGCACAACCTTGAGGCGGATGGGCTACAACAGCAGAAGACCCCACCGGGTACCACTCATCTCCAATACAAATAGGAAAAAGAGGCTACAATTTGCAAGAGCTCACCAAAATTGGACAGTTGAAGACTGGAAAAATGTTGCCTGGTCTGATGAGTCTCGATTTCTGTTGAGACATTCAGATGCTAGAGTCAGAATTTGGCGTAAACAGAATGAGAACATGGATCCATCATGCCTTGTTACCACTGTGCAGGCTGGTGGTGGTGGTGTAATGGTGTGGGGGATGTTTTCTTGGCACACTTTAGGCCCCTTAGTGCCAATTGGGCATCGTTTAAATGCCACGGCCTACCTGAGCATTGTTTCTGACCATGTCCATCCCTTTATGGCCACCATGTACCCATCCTCTGATGGCTACTTCCAGCAGGATAATGCACCATGTCACAAAGCTCGAATCATTTCAAATTGGTTTCTTGAACATGACAATGAGTTCACTGTACTAAAATGACCCCCACAGTCACCAGATCTCAACCCAATAGAGCATCTTTGGGATGTGGTGGAACGGGAGCTTCGTGCCCTGGATGTGCATCCCACAAATCTCCATCAACTGTAAGATGCTATCCTATCAATATGGGCCAACATTTCTAAAGAATGCTTTCAGCACCTTGTTGAATCAATGCCACGTAGAATTAAGGCAGCTCTGAAGGCGAAAGGGGGTCAAACACAGTATTAGTATGGTGTTCCTAATAATCCTTTAGGTGAGTGTATATATCTTTATATATATGCTGTGTAGATTAATCGATTTGACAGCACTATTTTCTGTTAGATTAATCGATTTGAGAGCACTATTTTAATTGTATTAATTTATGTATTGCACATATTTAATATATATATATATATACACACATACACAACATATAGGCCAAACTTTTCTTAGATGCGATTAATCGCATTAATCAATTTGACAGCACTTAATATAAAATTTAAGTACTATGAAGTACTAAAAAAATTTGGATAGCTCAGATAATTAGATGAGAATTGTTTTTGGTCATTGAAATCTTTTTTTTTTGGCACAATCTGCATTTTTTACAACAAGTTCTCAGAGGAGACAAATGTGAAATTGCTTAGGTCTTATATTTGAGATTCTTCATTTGTTCTTCATTTAATTGCTGATATTACAGATTGTGTTTTCGTTTTGTTATTTTTCTTTCCAATGGCCAGTGCTGGAGAACAGTGGCATCTTTTGTGTACAAGTCATCGTCAGTGGTTTATGTGTAGCCTAAACAATTGTTATATTTTTACACAGCTTCAAAAGAAACATGATTACAACAGTGACTCACATACTCATCATACTTGAGAGAAGATAGTAGTATCAGTTTCTAAACTGGCAGGCAGAATGGTTACAAAACAATAATGGCAGAAAAGGAGGAGATAAATATAGGTGTATTACAAAGATCAACTGCTTAAAAAGTAGTTTTCAGATCCTTATTTTGTGCGTTTTTCCCTGAGAATAATGGTAGTGCCTGTAAGTAAAACATCAACAGAAATCGATTAGTGTCCCCACACTCTCAATTAGAGGAAAGAGCCAAAGGTGCAATAATAGTTAAAGGTCTCACAGGTGAGAAAAACAGTGAGAGCCGCATTCCACCGCGCTTATCTGAACCCCCCGGCGTTTCCCATGAGCTAACACTGACGGATATCTTCCCTCAAATACTCCCTTCCAGCTCGTGTTTCATTAAACCACCACACCGCCGGTTTTTAGGAAATTCCCTTTTGTCAAAACTGCTGACTGCCAGCAGCAAAGAAACTGCCAGAGAAGTTGCAATTCCCAGAAAGAGTAAGAAACATTTTCCCAGTGGTGTTGTATTTTAACAGACATACGTTATATGTAAACATGTTGATATGCTTTGAGAAAAGATTTTATGGCATTCATATTTTTTATGAACATCTAAAATTATGTCTGTCCCTGAAAGCTCTGTCAAGCCAAAAATGACATATTATTATTAATTTGTTTTTGAAAAGTAAAAATACTACTTTTTTCCCTTGACAACATTACTATTTTTTACTTATACTATTATAATCACAATCCCATTTAATTTAAGTGTTTATGTATATGCAAAACTAGTTTCAGTCCAGTGTTTAATTGTCAAAACGTCAAACCAAAATTATATTATTTATTTGGTATATACTGTACATAGAACATTTAAAGTATTTATCTTTATGCAAATTAACTATAATATAAGCTTCAGTGTTCAATTTATGATTTATACCCGTTTATACAGTAGCATTGCATTAGTGTTGGGTCCGAGTCCACCTTGTCGAGTCCGAGTCAAGTACAAGTCCTAAACCAACTGAGTTTAAGTGGGACAGATTAATTAATGTCTTGTCATCTTAATTTTATATTGTTACTTAAAGTTCGAGTCAGTGTCAAGTCCACCTGACTGTGTCCGTGTCCGAGTTCATTCCTAATTGCAGTCCAAGTCCAAGTCAAGTCCAAGTACCCAAACTCTACGTTGCATAAATCATTTGGAGATTAAATTAAATTTGACTATAAATTCCCTGTATTTAAATGTGTATGTAACACCTTTCATATACCAATACAGCAGCTCCTGAACCCACTGATACAAAAATTGTGCCTGTTCAGATCTTTGTAGCATTTTCATATTGCACTGCATGCTAAATTTAAAAATCTAATTTAAAATCAAAATATATTTAACATAATTTTCCAAAATGTTGGCTCTGTAGTACGTTTCTTTAAAGGTTCTCCTTGAGCCAATGGATGTAGTTCCTAAGACTTCGTGTTCCAATAGAAAATCGAAAGGGCCCGAAAGCGAAACTAAGGCATCCATGGAACCCATCTTCATAGTGATCAACGGTGACACGGACTCCGGCTTCTTTTAGTCGTGTGGCGTACATGAGTCCGTCGTCTCTCAGCACGTCGTGCTCACAGGTCATGATGTAGGCGGGCGGCAGGGCCTTCAGCACTTCAGTTTCAGCAAGTAAAGGTGCCGCTCTCACATCCAGTAGGCCTGGCAGCTTCTCCAGCAGCTCTGGGTCTCCGTGAAGCGGAACCACGGGTTTATAGTTCTTCTGAAAGGCCACCGGAAGAAGCTTGGTCCAGTTGATCTTGGCTCTGGCCGCTGCCATCTCCTGGCCCTGATCCAGAGCCGTGTGCTTGTTTGCCAGCAAAGCAGAAACAAGTGTCTGATCCCCGTTTAGGTACTCCAGCCAAAAGCGGGCCAGGATCGGACGGTGCAGGATGGGCATGTGGGCGTTCTGCTGGTATGAAGGTGTGTTGAAGTCCAGGGCTTGAAGCACGGGGTAGACCAGGGCCTGAACTTTAAATTTAATAGGAACACTACTGTCCAAAGCCATCTGTGAACAATGAGATAAAAAAAATGTGATTATTAGCCATCTTTTGTGATGAATACGTTTAATAACACACTATGGCACTCTAGTAAACAAAACATACGCAGTATTTGTTGAGAGAGAGAGAGAGAGAGAGAGAGAGAGAGAGAGAGAGAGAGAGAGAGAGAGAGAGAGAGAGAGAGAGAGAGAGAGAGAGAGAGAGAGAGAGAGAGAGAGAACGAGAGAGAGAACGAGAGAGAGAACGAGAGAGAGAACGAGAGAGAGAACGAGAGAGAGAGAACGAGAGAGAGAACGAGAGAGAGAACGAGAGAGAGAGAGAGAGAGAGAGAGAGAGAGAGAGAGAGAGAGAGAGAGAGAGAACGAGAAAACAACACAACTTCGTGGCATAGATTCAACAAGGTGCTTGAATCATTCCTCAGAGGTTTTGGTCCATGATGACAGGATCGCGCATTTGCTGCAGATTTTTTCGGCTGCACATGATGCGAATCTCCCATTCCACCAAATCCCAAAGCTGCTCTACTGGATTGAGATCTGGTGACTGTGGACGTCATTTGAGTTTAGTGAACTCATTGTCATGTTCAAGAAAACACGTTGACATGATTTGAGCTTTGTGACATGGTTGCGTTATCCTGCTGGAAGTAGCCATCAGAAGATGGTACAACAATACTCAGGTAGGCTGTGGCGTTTCAACGATGCTCAGTTGGTACTAAGAGGACCAAAGTGTGCCAAGAAAATACCCTGCTCTTCTGCAGATCTCGGTCGGTCGTAACGAGTGGTTATTTGAGTTACTGTTGCCTTTCTATCAGCTCAAACCAGTCTGGCCATGGTCCTCTCAGGCATTTTAGCCCACAGAACTGCCGGCCACTGGATATTTTCTCTTTTTCGGACCATTCTCTGTAAACCCAAGAGATGGTTGTGCGTGAAAATCCCAGTGGATCAGCAGTTTCTGAAATACTCAGACCGGCCCATCTGGCAACACCAACAACCATGCCTCGTTAAAGTCACTTAAATCACCTTTCTTCCCCATTCTGATGCTCACTTTGAACTACAGCAGAGCATCTTGACCACATCTACATGCCATAATGCATTGAGTTACTGCCATGTGATTGGCTGATTAGATATTTGCTTTAACAAGTTAATGAACAGGTGTATCTAATAAAGTGGTCAGTGTGTGTGTGTGTGTGTGTGTATATACATATATATAGTTTATATATAAAATTAATAATATGTGTGTGTTTGTGTGTGTATATATATATATAGTTTATACTGTATATAAAATTAATAATACAATTAATATATAATTATAATATAGTATATATATATAAATAATAGTATCTATAACAGTGTGTCTATGTATATACTGTATATATATTATAGAATAATAATTATACCAAGTATACTGTATATAATTTTAATTTATAGTTATTTACATATTCTTTACAGCTTTTATACAAATTCCAAGCTTTTCACTATAAATTTCAGTCACATTATTTTACACTTCCAAAATAAAGGCTTCTGATGTGTCTCCTCACTTTACTCTCATACTCTCAGGGATTTGTCGTACCTGTTGGGCCACAGCAGCGGCAAGGTTCCCTCCCGCGCTGTCACCTGACACAGCCACTCTTTTCAGGTCTATAGAGTACTGGCCCAACACCTCAGCTGTCAGGATGTGTTTTGAGGCCTGAAAAACATCATTATACTGGTCTGGGAAACGTGCATCTGGAGCCAGGCTGTACCTGAACATACAAAATAAAACAAAATATACAAATTAAAACTGGTAATTAAGGCCTTTAATAATGCAAAGACCATATGCAAGATCTACCAAAAATGTGCAACATTGCTTACTCAACAGATATTACGACTGGATCCAGCTCTTCAGCCATCGCCATGCACTGAAGGTAATATGGTTTCATCTCTTTGAAGACAGAGAGAGCAATTATTTCTTATTAATTATTTCTATATTTCTTCAGTACATTTTGGCTTTAATAAAATTTCCCCAAGAAATACTAAACCTGGGGCCTCATTTATAAAACTGTGCGTAGAATCCTTACTAAAAGTGTACGTGCGGCCGAAAGCCAAAAATGTCGTACGCAAAAAAATATTCAGACTTATAAAACCGTGCGTACACCAGAACCTGCGCAGAATTCACTTTATAAATCCCAGTCAGCGGAAGATTGTGCGCACATGCGTCTCCACCCCGAAATAACCATATATGGAGATTATAACGCCTAGTTTTACTATGCATATCCTCATCTGCATATAATTTGCATATGATTATTCATCCACGTGATAACATGTTTAACGGTACAAGACATTAGGAAAATATGGAATACGGATGTGCCGTCACATTACATTAATAAAAATCATTTAGTAGCCCATCCTTCCCTTGTTTTTTAAATAAATAAAATAAAATAGTGCAAAATGCATTTCAGAGAAAGTTTTTCTCAATCTTTTCCACTGGCCAAATAGTATTTTAATTGATTTATATTTTTAATGGAAACAGATAGACCTTGTTGTGTATTATTTGCACGAAACCATTTTCTCAGACAATCTGCTATCATGATAAGCAATTATCTATGTAGTTAACACATTAAAACACAGACAGCATGCCAGAGGAAAGTGTTCAAAAGCATCACATCCACAACAAATATTTATATTTATTGAATATTAAAATGTTGTAACTTCTCAGTAATGATTTCATGTAGGGTGAATTGCCCTAATGTGGGACATTTTTTGCACTTCAGACTTCTGTGACATATTGCGATGTGTAACCAAAACATTAAATCCACACCCAATACCATTTTAAAAACCCCAGTATGTATGCTAATCAAATCAAAAGAGACAATTCAGATAACCCATTCATAAGAGATATTATAGACATATTAGTGATCTTATTGCAAGTTGTCTGAAATAATCTGCAGCTTCCTAATGTGGGACAGTTGTTTCCCCAATATGGGACACTGAAAAATCTATGATAAAAGACCAAAAAATCACATTGATACATGTAGAATAGTAAAATCTTGTTTTATTTTAGATTCTCTCTTAAATCTTAGTTAGTAATTTTCTTGGTTATGAATGGATGAAACATGTAAAATAACAAATTTTTTTAGTTGTATTATCCATTTCCAGTAAACCAGTATCACAATCCATAAACAAGACCATTATATCAGTTATGGTGATGAATTTGTAAAACACCTAAAAAATAAACAGAGAAACTTTGGACCAAAATAATTTGGTATAATTACAACTAAAAAATAAATGTACAATTGTTTCTGTTTCCTCTTTACAAAAACAGCATAATGGAGAAACCCCTTCTTTAAACTTACTGATAAAATCATTACATGGATAATATCTATTTATTATTTTAAAGTGAGTTTCTTTGACTTATTTATTAGGAATTACATATTTATTAATATCTGACCACAGATTCTGAAAAAAGGTCATGAAAATCCTGTTTCCATTTCATCAATGCTTTAGGTGAAACAGTTTTTTCTTTAGTTAAGATTTGTCTAATGTAAACATTATTAATATTTTTATTAATTTAAAAAAAAAAAAAATGTTTAAACCATGCCCCACCACACATTTTTGACTCATTGAAGTACTGTCCCACATTAGGCTGATCATGCTGTCCCAGATTTGCAACCACATTTCCTAATATGGGACACTAGGAAATTTGATAAAAATATAAAATATATAGTTTATACACATAAAGTTACACTATTTTTTGATGGACAAACATTTCATAAGCATATTAGGCTAAAAAGTAGCAGGATTGCTTTGTTTAAAATCTATTTAACTCCTTAACATCAAATTTGTTAAAACTCTATGTCATTAACCTTCGGATGGTTTTCACACAAGGTGTCTCCTGTTTGATGATTGCTCCACCCTCAAATATGATTGGACATTTGATAGGTCATGTGATTTTGATCACATGACACCACAGCTTTGTCTAACCCATAGTTTCACTGTCATTCATGTATTTATGGGGGACCTACAAACACTAGACCTTAGGTGTCCCACATTAGGCAGTGTCCCACATTAGGGCAATTCACCCTACTGGCCGTAATTCAGAACACAATTCCAAGAGGATGGCTCTTGGGAATCGAAATCGGCTCATGAGCCAATCATCATCATGAGCAAGGAAATCTTCACGGTTTCTGAAAACACGCTCCCTCCGTAGTGCGTCATTAGCAAGGTTTTCTAACAGCGCTAGAGCATCCATTATGATGATATGTTATACGCACATACCTTTTTATAGCCCATTCATTACAAAAAAATAGTATTTGCACCTGGTTAAGAATTCTGATAATGATAATTCAGGTTGATGCAATTTGATTTATTGGGTGATGTAATAGGATAATTTAAAAGTTTTTCATTTTAAATAGTTATTGCTATTTGGGCCAGTGCGCTTTTCCATTACCAGTACCAGCTCGACTCGACTCGACTCGCCTTGGCTCGCCTCGACTCGGCTCGCTTTTCGCTCCGTTTTCCATTGCAGAAAGTACCGCCACAAATAGTACCCGGTCGTCATAGCGACGCCTTTCGTTTCTCGTTGCCCCATCAAGCTCTCGCTGGATCCTCTCTTCGGCAACCAAACAAAGGAATGTCTGCACCTCCTCGTTTGACCACGGCGTATTCTTCCGAGTTGCCATAATAATAGTAGTAAGTTTAGTAACTATCTCTGGCCAAACTATTTAAAAATGGCGGGGTTATTCTGGATACTCCATCTGGCGCGTGCAATGATGACGCAAATTCTCTGTGACCAATCAGCAGTCGGCATTGTTTTCACGTCACATTTTAGTATCGGCTTAGCGCCATTAGAACCTCGCCGGAGGTGGTACGAAAAAAAGTACCCGAAAGCAGGTACAGGTACAACTTTTACACAGTGGAAAACCAAACAAAGGCGAGTCGAGCCGAGCCAAGGCGAGCTGGTACTGTGTAGTGGAAAAGCGCCATGTCGCCAAAACACATAGGCTACTCTTCTAAAAGAGTGCGTACGCACGGTCAAGAGCATCCTTACGGTGCGCACTTATTTACCCCAAGTTTATTTTTTATAAATCCCGATATGGGCGTGGAAAAATGCGTACGCATATTTCTATTCCCATTTTGTGCGTACGCAACGTTTATACATCAGGGGCCTCATGTATCAACACTGCGTACGCACAAAAACACGGCGTACGCCAGCTTTCACGTTCACGGCCAGATGTACTAACAGTGAAATTAACGTAAGAATGTGCGTTCCTCCAAGTAAACTTCATGTCTGGCGTACGCATATTTGTCGTGATTTTTGTCCGTTGGCGACTCATAGAGGCAATAAAGTGAAGTGGCAAACATTACACTACGAATTGTTCTATCGCACCACCAGCTGTCAGATATTGCTTATAATTTGTAATTGATAAATTATTTGACATATTATTGTCACACGAGTTTTATTAAAATATTATATTATGCAATTAATTAAGAACTTATATAAAGCATGTCCAAATTGATACAACCCGTCTAGCAATGGCAGCGTTGGCTTAACTAAAAAAAATAAACTTCATTAATTCGGTCAGTAAAGATAAAAAAGAAAGTAATATTTTTATTCAGCAAGGACACATTAAGTGACAAGTAAAAGTGACAGTAAATGCATTTATGATGTTACAAAAGATTATAAGATTTCGACATCTGTTTGATTTAAGTTTTTACTAATTAAAGAATCCTGAAAATACTAGCCTATATCATGGTTTCCACGAAAATATGAAGCAGAAGCACAGCTGTTTTCAACTGATAATAATCATAAATGTTTCTTGATCATCAAATCATTATATTACAATGATTTCTGAAGGATCATGTGACACTGAAGACTGGAGTAATGATGCTGAAAATTCAGCTTTGATCACAGGAATAAATTACACTTTACTATATATTCACATAGAAGACATTTTCAGTGAAATTTTGTTTCTTGCTTGCTTTAGCCATGTTCTTGCAGGTTTCTTTTGCCAAATTGGACTAATTAACATATTTAAATTAATTTAATTGGGGGAGGAGACTGGGTGGGGCGTTGTGCTCGTGCATGTGCGCTCAATTTTACGGATGTACAAAGAGAATATGCGTGGGATCCTTCGTACGCAGAGATTCATACATCTGCTTTTTTTTTGTGCGTACGCACAAAAAAAAGCAGTATGAATGTATGAATCTCTGCGTACGAAGGATCCCACGCATATTCTCTTTGTACATCCCAATTAACGTAAAATTTTCAGCATCATTTCTCCAGTCTTCAGTGTCACATGATCCTTCAGAAATCATTCTAATATGATGATTTGATGATCAAGAAACAGTTATGATTATTATCAGTGTTAAAAACAGCTGTGCTTCTGCTTCATATTTTCGTGGAAACCATGATATAGTATTTTCAGGACTCTTTAAAGGTGCTCTATGTAACTTTTAGCGGCCTCTAGTGGTGATGTTTCAGATTGCAACCAAATTTTACAAGAGCGCTCGTGCTCGAACTCATAGACAATACCGTCTATTACGCAAATATCTCTGCGAATACTAGACGGATTCGGCGAGCACCGAGCTCGTTGGGACCATCTAGTCGAGCTGAAAAGAACCATATAAGTTCCATAGTTTTTGGTGGTGTTTTCGCAGAGATATTAGCAGAAAACAATCGGGCGCGCTGCAAAATTGCGGACGCCGGTGACGTCACGATCTCAGAAGAAAATCGCTCGTATCTCTGGAACACAAAGACCCAGAGAGCTCAAATTCGGGGGAGGAGGTCCCAGGGGAACTCTTGCCCGAACGGGGCGGGCCTCGGGGATGCCCCCTACCGGATCGCCGTTCGCTGGGACCCCCGATTTCGAACGGCTATAACTCGGGGAGCCGGGCGAGTTGGACCTCGGGGGTGGGTTCGTTCGAAAGGCCCCGTCCAGTACTACGAACGATTAGATTCTTGGGAATATTGATCAAAGATTGACTGAGATATAAGCCGAAAAACGTGCGCCTTTAACCGGATGTAACTCCCTGACCGTCTACAATAGACTGTATATAAGGAGAGAGGCTCGGGAGCGCGCATGCACGTCACATCCGTTGGATTTCGCGGTAAATCCGACCCGGAGACTTCACATAGAAATAGGAATACTGGCCTTCAGAGGTAATAGCAAAACTCGACAAGTGGATCATTTTAATGTGTGATTACAACCCCTTCACACACAGGCAATAAAAAAAGGATTCATTTTAGTAGAAAAGTTACATAGAGCACCTTTAATGAATAAAAACTTAAATCAAACAGATCTCGAAATCTTATAATCTTTTGTAACATTATTAATGCATTTACTGTCCCTTTTACTTGTCACTTCAATGTGTCCTTGCTGAATAAAAATATTACTTTCTTTTTTTATCTTTACTGACCGAATTAATGAAGTTTATTTTTTATTCCTAGTTAAGCCAACGCTGCCATTGCTAGACGGGTTGTATCAATTTGGACATGCTTTATATATGTTCTTAATTAATTGCATAATATAATATTTTTTAAAAACTCTTGTGACAATAATATGTCAAATAATTTATCAATTACAAATTATAAGCAATATCTGACAGCTGGTGGTGCGATAGAACAATTCGTAGTGTAATGTTTGCCACTTCACTTAATTGCCTCTATGAGTCGCCAACGGACAAAAATCACGACAAATATGCGTACGCCAGACATGAAGTTTACTTGGAGGAACACACATTCTTACGTTAATTTCACTGTTAGTACATCTGGCCGTGAACGTGAAAGCTGGCGTACGCTGTGTTTTTGTGCGTACGCAGTGTTGATACATGAGGCCCCTGGTGTCTTCCATGATTCATATTCTTTCTGACAAGAAAGCACTTGAGCACAACAAGCTCCTAATCACAACTTCAGAAGTAGGAAGCAGAATATTTCCGATAGCACATGAAGGTGGCATTAAACCATAGATAATATCACCAAAAAAGTTAATGAAAACATCACAAGTGTCATGATACGTTTAAAGTTGGCATGAACAGGAAGTTGCGAAAACCATTTCTTCCCTATTCATAGTTTTCAGTCATGTGACTGGCGTGGGGACCTGGAGGTCAAAACATCCATAGAACGGCATGCTGTTTGCAGAGTTTAGCTCCAACCCTGAAAAAAGCCCTCTCCTGCCTGTAGCCTTAGGGTAAATTCCAATCGGAAGTGAGCATCCCTATGCCCTAATCACTCCGAAGGGCAGAACCCTTGAAATGGGGACTTTGGAGGGAGCACTTGGAGAAGAGAACGCACTTGGCGAAGGGAGCAATGAAAGACCTCGTAATTTCCTCATTAGCTTCACATGGAATGTTACAACAAACCTAGTCAGCGACAACAGGAATATTTTATTGCTGTTAATATGAAATGTAATAAAATTTACATTTATAATGCAGTTTTAAAAATATGCTTTATATGTGTGTGTGTGTGTGTGTGTGTGTTCCTGCTGATCTACAGAAATAGAGAGAGCTTTGGTGATAACTAGGTGAATATTTAATAACTACAATAGTAATTACTCACTAGAAATTATATCAAAAGTGGAAAACAATGATCAAAAACTTACATCTACACACAAACTGACGACCAGCTGCAACTTTCAGATGCCATGTTTATTTTTTGGCTCAACTGTCATAGAATGGAAACCATAGGAATGTTGGTTATCAAAGGCAGTGAAGGATACATCTGCAACCATCAGATGAAGGTATAGGAGACAGGAAGTGAAGCTATCATTGGATTCGGACGTGCCTTGATGCCTTCCTACCTTGGAATGCGTCCTCCGAAGGCAGCATTAATCAGTTTACGGATACAGCTGAGATGTCGCTCCAAGAGGGAAAGTTATTTTGATTAAAGATTATGAGGGCACATGCATTAAAAAATGATGACGTGCATGGATAGATAATTTATTTATTTAAAAAAAATTACAGACATTTTTTATTTACAAACTGATTATGACATTCCTGATTTGAATATTTTCTTCTTCTTTTTTTTGTTGCTTTTTTTGCTTTGTTTTGTTTTTTACCCCTTACCCCAACTTTGGATAGATAATTTATAATAAATACAGCAATATTCCATTAAAAAAAAGAACTGTCATGGTGATTTCATAAAGTCACTCAGCATGAATTGATTTCATTGTGTCTTTAAACTGAGAAGTGTTCCTTTCTCTACCACATGAGGGTGCTTCGAGACTGCTGTGCAAATCTCTTTTTCTCGTTCCCTCTGTCTACAACTTCTAATGCATTCAACAAAATGTTTGACTTACATGAAATCATATGCAACTTAACATTAACAATCTATCACCTACTTACTTGTGCTACAGAGTGTCCATCCACCTCCATGCAAATAGACCACGCCTCTTTTCAAGCGCTGCTCCTGCCCTTCAGCAGTGGACTCGAATACTTGCGCTTCCACTCCTCCAAAGGAAGCCTCTGTGATCCGGACGGTCGGGCTGGACTGATTACTTTTTACATCCTCCCAAGACGAAAAGTACTTTACAACACCGAACGGGGAACTTAGTCCAAGGTCATGAGCTACAAAACTCTACGAGAGAAATCCAAAAAGTTGAGTTTTTGTCAGCAGATCTCTTTAGTAAACTCCATTATATAACTTATATATAATGTGTGTATGTGTTAATGCAATAACATTTATATGAATATGTATTTCAATGCAAAATCTTACCAAATGCATCGTGCCAGTATCATAGCATCCATAAACATGAGTTTCCATGGTTTTGATATAGTGCTGGGCAGAGGCAGATAAATATAATAAGCAGCTGCTATTGCCAGTAAAATCGTCCCGATCAAAATGGACCGCATTATTAATTATGTTAAAAGAGCATTAAAATGACCGCTGCACAAATGTCATGCAGACACTGCACCTGCTTTCACACTGTATAGATTATGAAATCACAGGAACATTTTTATATTAAAAGGCCTCTTGTCGAAATTAAGTTATTGTTTTTATTTCACTGCAGTAGTTTTTTTTTAAGTTTTTATTCTTGTTTATTTTTTTTCTGTTAATGATTTTATTGTTGTTTCTTCTCTGTAATCGGCATATAAACAGACTTTTATTTTGAAATGTTTGTACCGTCACATCGAATACACGTCAGACATCAGTCTGTGCGATTTTTGGTTTCGGCCCGGGCCCTATTTTTGTTAATGCTCTGAAAACTTTGTATGCAGGGGGAAATAGCTCAGTGAAATTAGGACATGGTACAACCCAGAGATTTCTTCTAGAAAGAGGAATTCGGCAGGGCTGTCCAGTCTCTCTCTTTCTTATCGGAGCACTGGCCTTCTGTCATTTTATTAAGGATAGTAAGCTAGAAGGAATTCATATTGCTGGTAGAAGTATTTTAATTAGTCAACTAGCGGATGACACAGCCTTATTTAAAAAAAAAAAAAAAAACTCTAACCAGGTTCACTAGGCAATGGGCTCTATGCACGGCGGTATTTCCGGTGAAGGTCTAAGGATGCTGGATTACTTCCGCCGATCGTAGAGTCCAATGCTATACCGAGAATTTATATTGGTTTTTATACTCTATTGCTATACTAAAGAAACGTTAGTCACAAAAACAGACAAAACAGACACTCCTCATTTTGTTTATGCTTCTGTGTTTATTATATTAAATAAACATAACTATATATAAAATTACATCTAAACGTATTAAAGTTTCGTTTCAAAGACGAGAGGACAGTAAATTTTGAAGACTCTGCCATAATCCCGTTCCCTTTCAAGGCGGTCACTTCGACATTACGTCATACTGACGTAAATGGGAACTCCTCCCTTCTCCATTTTCACTGAAATCTTATAGGATAACGCCAGCTGGAGACAGCTGGCCAATTGACGCAAAACATGCAAATGCTGACCGGTCCGCGGGCAGTATAAAATAGCATGGGCGCGACAATTACGTCAGAATCTCTTTCTTCACGCTAGAAGTCTTATCTGAAGTCATCGTGGAAGTTGCAATAGAGGTTACTCACCATGTTTCCTCCCCGCATCCGATGGCTGCTACATGCCAGATATGTGCGGTATTGACTCGCTCTACCCAAACAAGGATCTACCGAGGCCGCACTCTCGGACGACTGGCATACGTGCTGGTCTACCAGTGCGCGCCCTCATAAACTCCGGGCATCAGCAGGGATGAGGCCCACTGCCGCCAGCGGCTGCTGGTGGGCCCTCTAATGCCCAAAGAAGAGTTGACAGTCGTTCTCCCCTGTGGCCCAGTGGCGGAACCTGAAGCCTTCGCGCGAGAGACCCGTGTTCGATCCCGGCTCTCGCAGCAGATACATTTTTAACCTGCCCGTCGCCTCTCCGGTCCTTTTCGCGGGCTCGCTAGACGGACTCGACGAGATAGGCTTCGTCGGAAGGATACTTTTATTATTTTACTTAGCCCGGTATCTAACAGCCAGGCTACTTCAAGAAAGATTCCGTCTTCACGACGTCCTATGGTAAGTCATGCGAAGACGCATCCAGAGAGACGAGGCAAGGCAATGGATCTGTGTCTAAAGGCGCGAAAGTGGTTGTTTCCCCCTGTGGCTCAGTGGCGAACCCCAAAGCCGTCGCACGGGAGACCCGTGTTTGATCCCAGCTCTCACAGCAGATAAAATTTAGTCGCGCCGCGGCCAGACATTAAACCGTAACTTTTGATCTCTATACGTCCAGCCTTCCTCGATGTCTCTCTTCGTCGGCACCTCGTCCCGCCTAATTCGGCTACAGCCGCCAAAACGGTTCGAACCCGTAACGAACCGGATCTTCACCGTTGGCAGAGGGCGGGACCGGGAATGTGGCGACACAGGCCACGGAGAGCGCCGCGTCAGGACGCCCCGCTCTGGTAATGGAGGTGCACAGCTTACAGCTTATGTCGTCAGGCTGCCCTGTATCCTTCAGTGCAACTGGCCATTCTGATTTAACCACGTATCCACAGTTGTTGTCGCTACGCCACTGACGCTGTGTTTATGTTCAGACTACACACTGATATGTGCTATGATTTGTGCCGTCATATTGCCCTGTTTCTTTCAGTGCGAATGGCTATTCTGATTACCACGTATCCACAGTTGTTGTCGCTATGCCACTGACGCTGTGTTTATGTACACACTGCACACTGATATGTGCTATGGTTTAACTGTTATATCCTTATATATTGCCCTGTATCCCTCAGTGCAACTGGCTATTCTATTAACCACGTAATCACAGTTGTTGTCGCTACGCCACTGACGCTGTGTTTATGTACACACTGCACACTGATATGTGCTATGATTTAACTGTTATGCCCTTATATTTTGCCCTGTATCCCTCAGTGCAACTGGCCATTCTGATTTAACCACGTAATCACAGTTGTTGTCGCTACGCCACTGACGCTGTGTTTGTTCACACTGCACACTGATATGTGCTAAGATTTGCGCCGTTATATGCTGCCCTGTTTCTTCAGTGCAAATGGCTATTCTGATTACCACGTATTCACAGTTGTTGTGCGATGAAATGACGCTGTGTTTACGTGCACTCTACACACTGATATGTGTTCATGATTCATGCCGCTATAAATTGCCCTGTATCCTTCAGTGCAACTGGCTATTCTGATTCACAGTTGTGCGATGCCACTGACGCTGTGTTTATGTACACTGATATGTGTGTGTTATGCTTATGCCACGATATTGCCCTGTACCCTTCAGTGCAACTGGCTATTCTGATTACTACGTATTCACAGTTGTTGCGTTGCAACGGACGCTGTGTTACGTACACACTACGCACTGTTATGTGTATGATTTACGCCATTATATATTGCCCTGTTCCTTATCCTTCAGTGCAAATGGCTATTCCGATTACTACGTATTCACAGTCTTGCGATGCAACTGACGCTGTGTTACGTACACACCGTACACTGCGTTATGAATTTTGCCGTTGTTGCCCTGTATCCTTCAGTGCAAATGGCTATTCTGATTACTACGTATTCACAGTTGTTGTGCGATGCAACTGACGCTGTGTTACGTACACACTAGACAGCGTTATGTGTGGGGATTTATGCCATTATATGTTGCCCTGTAATTTTCAGTGCAAATGGCTATTCTGATTACTATGCAGTACGTATTCACAGTTGTTGTGCGATGCAACTGACGCTGTGTTTATGTACACACTACACACTATGTGTTATGAATTTTGCCTTTGTATTTTGCCCTGTATCCTTCAGTGCAAATAACTATTCTGATTACTACGTATTCACAGTGTGGTGCGATGCAACTGACACTGTGTTACGTACATACAACTCAGTTATGTGTATGATTTATGCCATTATATATTGCCCTGTTTCTTTCAGTGCAAATGGCTATTCTGATCACTACGCAGTGCATATTCACAGTTGTCTTGTATGCAACTGACGCCGTGTCTATGTACACTCTACACACTGTATGTGTTATGCTTATGCCGTTGTACATTGCCCTGTATCCTTCAGTGCAAATGGCTATTCTGATTACGTACACAGTTGTTGTGCGGTGCAACTGACGCTGTGTACACGCTACGCACTGATGTGCTATGTTTACGCCGCTAATATTGCCCTGTATCATCAGTGCAACCGGCTATTCTGACTTACTATGTATTCACAGTCGATGTCGCGATGCCTCTGACGCTGTGTTTTTGTACACACTAATGTGACTATGCTATCGCGTTGCCCTGTATCCTTCAGTGCACCTAGCTATCCTATCTAACTGTGCATAGTCACAGTGTGTCGCTACGGCGACTTGCGCTGCATCTGTGTCCACACTGAAGCGATTATGCAGTTATGTTGCTAACGTAACTGACCATGATGTGAACTGTGCATATTCATGCAGTCTCGGTCGCTTCATCGACTTGCACCGCATTATACACTCAGATGTTTGATATGTGCACACTGATGGGTAATGCTGTTATGTTGCCCTCTATCTTTCAGTGCAACATCCAGCTATCCTATCTAACTGCATATTCAGTTCTGTCGCTATGGCGACTACACGGCACGTACAAGGACGTGTTTTTGCTTTTGTTGCCCTGTTTCCTTCAGTGCAAAACTAGCTATCCTAATCTAACCGTGCATATTCACAGTTCTGGATGTATGTACGTAAACGGATGTGTTATGCTAGTAATGCTGCCCTGTTTCCTTCAGTGCTGCTAGCCATCCTAATCTAACTATGCATCTTAAGTTTCTGAAAAATGCTGTACGTGCATGTGCTACGCTGTTATATTGCCCCGTTCCTATCAGGGCAACTGGTTATTCTGTGCAAACTCATATATTCACAGTTGTAGCTACAGTTATGACTGTTTGTTTGCTTACTGAGGTGCTATGCTATTATGGGGCTATTTTCTAACTGCGTATATTCACAGTTGTCGTCGCTACGGCCACTGGCACTGTGTTATGTACATTCAGTTATGTGTTGATTTGCACTTCTGTACATTGGCTATAGAACATCGGCTATGTTCTACAAGGTGGCACCCCAGCCCCAAGCTGTGGAACCTTCTTGTGTGTCCGCTGCTGGTTCCTTAGTTGAGCAAGACACTTCACACTGACAAGTGCTGAGACGGAGCTCTCCCTAAGATGGCCTTGCCACCGGCTCTCGCCCCAGCGAAGCACTTGGAGACTTACGCTCATTCTAGTGAATGTTGTCGCATTGTCTCGGACCTGATGACTGCAGCGTCACTCCCAGTCCGATACCAAGCTACGTTCCGAAGTCGCTTACACCGTTCAGAGCACAGGTTGATCCCTGCCCGCCTTATCTGCTGAGTTTCAGCCTCGCATGATGCCGATGCTCAGA